CCTGATCCAAATCAGCTCCCCCCAGCCTCTAATTTGCAAATGGATGGAACTGGGATGGGGATTCCAATTGGAACCACAACAACAGCAAAGGGTTAAAACTTTCTATCTCACATCACAGTCAGCTTCATACTGGATATTTTTTAAACATGCACATACGTATAAACAAGTTGACACATATCATGCCTAATTTGATCCTCACTAAGGGGCCAAAGGTGAGGCATAGACCCAGGGGTGGAAATCATCCAAAATTTCATTGATAAAACTGGAAGAAGTTTTGCTTGATTATCTGGCTTTCCTCAGGGTGCATCTACACTGTAAAAGTTTGACACCTCTTTAACTGCCATGGCTCCATCCTACAGTATATTGGGCAAAGAAGAATAAAGCTCTTTGCAAAGCTACAAATCCCAGAATTCCATAAGATGGAGTTATCACACAAAGTGATGTCAAACTATTTATTTTATTTTTTACAATGTAGCTGCACTCTTCTGATGTTCACACAGGCAGGAGGGAATTTTTACTTTATTTCCTTATTTAAGAGATTCATATCCTGCCTTTCTCCCAAAACGGGATTCAAGAGGGCATACTCCAAGAAATAATTTCATTCTCCCATCTTTGTTTATCCCTGACAATAATCAATCTGTTTACACAAACTAGATTTAGAGCAGCCTTCAAATGACTCATAGCTAACTTCTGTTAGCACATCAACAGTCAAGAAAAAATCCTGTCCAAATAAGAAACAATAAGAACGTTTCTCCAATAGGAAATATTGGAAAGCAGGACATTATCAATAAGGTGCATTTTGTACAGACAAGACATATAAAACAGATCCAGTCTTGAGGAGGTCCAAGTCTTTTGGAGGGAGGGTACAGTAATTCCAAAGTGAGCAAAAGTACCTGATGCTGCAAAACTGAAACTAAAATGAAAACTACAATACAACTAAGAGGTCCCAGATTGATGTAAGGAAAGTTCCCTGGTAGCTCGCAATAAATGAATGCAAAGAAATGGTTCCAGAGCATATCTGGAGAAGACTCTGGAGAAGCTGCAGGCTTGGAACCTGTCTATACAGCCCACCAAATGAAAAACAAAATGTCTCTCAGGGTTCTGCAGAAAATTGGTCTGTTGCTTTTGCTTGCATCTGAAATTTTAACACTGGACTGTGGTCTAATTGTGCAATTTCAAAAGGATGAGATTGGGAAGACCAGAACACTTCTGGAAACAATGGGAGAAGCCTGGGATCCACAGGAATGCCCCGAAAATTCAGACTTTGGCTTCCCCATGGTCAAAATCCGCA